CACGAGGCAGCAGACTGCTCTGTTCAGGGAAGTGCAAGGTGGTGACTGGAGTAGAAGGCGGCCCCTGGAGGGCGCTGCCAGCTCTGTGAAGGGACCTGAGCTTTATACTGACAGCAGGGGGAGGGCTCTCTATGCTGGAGGGCAACACAGGGTCCATTTGGCCTGTTAGGAACCTTCAAGGGGCATTTAGAGGCCTCCAGCTCAGGATCAGAGTAAGGAAAAGCAAACGAGTCATCCGGCGACCAACTCCACGGAGAATATAAACTGGGGATGAGCTTCCTTCCTCTCTAAACCCCACTGTGGCACCCTAGTACTAGCCAGATGGCATCTACTGCCTGGTGAGCCCTGCGCAGCCCAACCAGAGGGTTCTTTGCACCTTCTCAGTTCCCTTCGGCCCCTGTTTCTGGAGAATAGGGGCCTGGGTTCCCCCTTTCAGCTCCCGAGTCCACACAGTGCTACTGCTCTCTTCACCAAGCCCTCTCGCCTGGCTGGCTGCACTCGCAGGTTAGGGGTGTCTTAGCACTGCACACAGCTGCCCCCTTTCCACGGCCCTGTAACCATTTCAAGGCTGGCAGTGATCTGTCTGCCTCCCTACGTGTCTGTGAAGGCCACGAGGTGGGCAGTGGTCTGCTCTTCCTTGTTGTTGCTCCCCAGCACCAGCTATGGTGCCTGGCCCAGCGCAGGACCAGGAGTGTGAGCTGAGTGAGACTGAAAGCCTGTGGGTAGGTGAGGACCACCATGGGACTGCTTCAGGCTTCACGCCTGACAGGTGTTCGATGCCTGTGGAAGGACATTTGCCGGGCCTTCTAACAGCCAGGCACCCAGCAGGTGCTCAACAAATACTGAGATCTACTAAAGAAGGCAGCAGGGAGGCAGGGGCTGAGGGGCAATAGAAACCACGAGAAGCCCTGATAACTACAAACATTTATTGAACACCTTCTCTGCTGTTTTTTGCATGCTTGCTATTTAATCTTCACCTCAATTTGATGATGTCTTTACTATCCTTCTATAGTTTAAAATGAACACATTATGGCTCAGAGAGGTTATGTGACTTGCCTGAGGGCACCCAGACAGTATGTGAAGAGCAGAGGCCTTTACGCCCAGGTCAGAGAGGAGGAGGAGTTGGTGTGGGGAGGGGGAGGGGGAGCCTTACCAGGAGAGCCCAGGAGGATGTGCACAAGGTCCTCATAGAGGATGAGGGTGGCAGGCCGCTCGGGGAGCAGGTAGAGGCTGACAGATGCATACACTGCAGGAGGGTGGCCAGTGAGCTCCGGAAAAGCCATCTCCCATCGGGCACCGACAGGCACCCCTCCATCTGAATCCCCTCCAGTGCCTCCTCCTTCCTTAGCCCCCTCTGCGGACCCCAGCCCAGGCAGCAGCTGCTGGAAGGCCTGCCTCCTCCACCCCCCACCCCTGGGACTATTTTGGGATGGAGGGTCAGCTGCCGCCCACCCCCCCCTCCACCTGCCCCTGCACTCACAGGGTAGCTTGTCAACACGCCAGGGCACGGAGTTGGTGAGGAAGCCAGGGCGGGCAGCAGTGACCAGCACCCAGGTGCCCAAGCGGTAACTGAGGGGCAATGTGGCCACACCTTCGGAGTCTGTGGTGCCTGTGGCCAGCAGGGTCCGGTTCCCAAACACATCCACTGAGGCCCGGGCCAGGGGCACCAGTTCCCCGCTCACATACACCTGCACCTTGATCAGGAGCTCTGCGGACAAGATGGGGAGGCAAATGAGGAGGTAGGGAAGGGAGAGGTGGGGGAGCCCGGAGGTCAGAGGAGGGGCTGCCAGCTGGCTGAGGCTTTGTGCTGAGGGAGAGCGTATTACAGTAAGAGCGCTCCTTGCTCTCGTCAGCCTGGGAGGGAGGTGGTGCTGTAACCACAGGGCACCGAGTCTAACACAGGTGCTTTTTCACGTCTTAACATTTCCAAACTCAGCCTGTGCCTACGACTGATGATGTCATAATGACAACCGGCAGCACGTTTTCCTTCCTGGCCAGTATGTGAAATAATGCTGCATCTTACAGTCAATGGCGTAAAATATATTCCCAGCCCATTTTACAGATGAGTAAGGTAGGGCTCCCCCTGGACTCCAGCTAAATGGCAGAAGTGGGGTTCGCACCTGGGAGTATACCTCTTGCACATCAATTCTTAACCACTGGGCCCTACAAGAGCCCTGTCAGGAGAGAAGGCAGAGAAAGGGGGAGTTAGGGAGAACCAGAGCCTGAAGGTGGGGAGAGAGGGCAAGATTTGGCAGTTTGGGCGGGAGGATGGAGGCTAAGTCAGAATCTGGGTTCTCAGAGAAGAAAACTAAGGAAGAGACCCTAGGGAGTCAGCCATCCATCCTCTTCCCAGAGTCCTTTGCACAAGACTGTTTCCCTTCAGATTTAGGGAATCACCCCAACCCCCAAGCTCAAACAAGTACCTCCTGACCCTCCCCCTCCCATACCAGACCCCCCCAAGCTGGTCAGCTACAGTCAGTCACCATGGCAATGTCCTCATTCCTCCCAGGGGATCAGGCAGGGAGCTGGGGCCCTGGCGAGGGGAAGGAGACCCGTGGGGGTGGGGGGCTGACCCAGGCCCAAGGGAAACTGGTGTGGAGGGGCTGGGAAGGGGAGCCCAAGTCTTCTGCTTGCTGGAGCAGCCTCTGCTCCAGCCCCACGATATCCAGTCAGGCTAGGCCCGCAGGTGTTCTGAGCTGTATGAGGTGGTGAGGGCAGAACCAGGTTGGGAGCTGTTCCCATGGATTTCCCAGGCGGCCTCTCTGACCCATGGTATCACCTACCCCTTCCTACTTAACACAGCTCCTCTCTCGAGGACAGGCCGCACCCCTACCTTGCTGCTGATAATGGTGTAGGAAGGAACGGAGGCCTCTATGAGGGTCCCAGGAGACAGGCAGGGAGCGGCCCAGGTGCTGAACACAGACCTAGGGGAGTCTAGGCCCAGAAGGAAGACTGGAGCGGACAGGGCAGGGTGTGGGGAGGCCAGCAGGCCACAGTGCCTTGGGAAGGGACCAGAGTCTGACATGCAGCAGTGACAGGTGTCTTATCTCAGCCTCCAACTCCAGGGCTAGTGCCACGCCTGCCCCTGGCATCCCATCCAGCTGTTCACCCAAGCCCACCTCCCTCTCCCCTCCCCAGCTAGAGCCCAACCCTGCAGGGTGGGCACATGCAATAGATCCACTCCTTCTCTAGCTCTCCACCGGACTGGCAGTTTCCCCCCTCCACCACCACCCAGAAGGAATTCTGAGAAGCTAGAAGGGCCTGGCTACTCCCCACCCTACCCAGGCCAGAAGCAGCTGGATAGAGCAGCTGGGAAGAGGGGACCCAGGAGTCTGAAATACTGTCATCCGAGGGAATGGCTTGGGTTCAAGAATCAGCCTTAGAAAGGTGTATGGGGGTGTGTGCGCAGAGAAACAAAACAGGTGGGCAGATAAGGCTTGCAAGAGGCATCAATGCCAAATGGGGTGCCTAGCAGACTCCCTTTCCCCTGCCCCCCAACCTGGGCTCCCAGCCAGCTGCCTGAGAGAGCCCCCTATCCTGGCTCTGTTCCAGCCAATTCCCTGGGCCCCTTCCCCTGGTGTGCAGGGACTTGAAGGAGAGCCTTCCAAGAAACCAGGGCCTCTTCCCACCTAGTGAAGCAAGGCCTCATCTCCTCCCCTGGGCAGAGGGACTGAGGCAGAGGGGGTCTTTTCCCATTCAAGCCTGACATTCCACACAGTAGTACCTCTCCAGGCTTCAGGCATGGTCATGCCTCTTACCAGGAGGAAATCCGACCTCCTCCCTTCATCCGGACCCCACTTCCCTCATCCAGACCCCCCCACACACCCTGCTTTTCCTGCCAGCTCCTTGGTGGGGAGGGGTGAGGAGTGGAAAACACTCAGGCAGGGCTGGGGCCCACCCGCGGGGGAGGGGAGAGCAGTGGCTGGGTGGTGGGGCAGAGACAGGAGCGGGGCGCTGGGCTGGAGTGGGCGTGGACGGAGGCCCAAGCAGTCTTCCTCGCCCACCCTCTCCTGCTGCAGGAGCTGGCCCCACCCCCACCTCACACACCCACCTGGGCCAGTGCGGGTCCCCACAGAGAAGGAGAGGTGAGAGGAGGAGAGGGTGATGTGGGGGCGTGCAAGGGACAAGAGTGGCAGGAGGCCCGCTGGACGGGGACCCAGGCACCTCCCCAGCCGGCACAGCCCATAGCCAGCCAGCTCAGCTCAGCATGGCTCGGCAACCACAGCCCTGCCCTGCACCTCGAGCTGGGAGTCACAATCTCGCCCTTTTCTCAGGGTCCCCCAGCTACGGTTTCTCCTCCATCCTGATCTGGTCAGAGTGTATGTAGTGCACCCCAAATTCTAAACTGGGGGGCCAGCTGGGGGCTGACAGGCTCCAGGGCTAAGAACCCTATTCGAACAGTGAATCCCGCCCACAGCCTCACCCACTCCCCCTTCTCCCCTCCCCCCTTCAAACCCAGCTCTAGGCGCCCAGCCCCCGTCGGGGCCTA